GGTGTCGGTGTCTGGGCGTCGGAGGGGCGGCCCGGTGAGCACAGGAGGCGCCCCACGGCTGACGGGCTAGTGAGGGGAACCCCAACACACACGGTCCACCTCACCCCAGAGACCACCGTGCTCTTTACAAGCTGTGACCTTCCTCATTCCACTGCAGAGGGATCCAGTTTTAGCCACACACAGTTGTTCGGGCAGGTGTGAAGATGGGGACACACAATGGTTTTGCAGGAGAGGAGTCGGGCTTGGTGCGCAAGCCCCGGGGGGCACGGAGGCCACGGGGGCCACGGCAGCTGGGGGCACCGGGGAGGGGCGCACACAGCGCCTCAGGCTGCCACAGCCAAGTCCACGGCCGAGGCTCTGATTTCACAACTATCCGAACGAGCAGCGCGCTTAAAATCCGTGGCTTAGGAGATTTTCATTGAGCGTTCTATTTTTAAACACATCCCAGTGTTTGTATTGAAACCGCCCCAGAGACACCTTCCTTCAGAGCCATAATCCCTGGAAAGGGAAACCACCCGAGAAGGCGGCTCTCTCGGCTCCCTGGGCGCGTCCCTGGGCCGGGAGCAGAGCGAGGGCAGCTGTGAGGTGGGTCCAGCCACACGGGAGCCCACACTACGGCCCCACGCTCTTGTGCCTTCGTGGGCCCTTCCTCCACAAAAATCATTAAAAATTATACAACCGTGTCTATGTAAAGATGAATATATTAATAGCATATATTAAAACATCTACTCTGACCTAAAAGTTCATTGTTTTTTCGGACTATAAAAGAAGTCAAAACACGTTCATGGGTCCCCGCAGTACTGGGGGCGCCACGGACTGGCCCAGATGTGGCAGCTGTGCCCTCGGTGGCTGTGCTGAGTCCCAAGGTCTAGCCCGGGTGCGGGGTTTGGAGCAGGGTGGGGGTGCCCCGCAGCCCGCTGTCACCTGTCAGAGATGCCCAGCTCAGGTTGGCGGGCCCCTTGCTGTGGCATCAAACAAAACAAACAGGGATTTAAGTCACTGCCTCGCCCTTTCTTAGCTCTGTGCTCGCTCAGACGACAGAACTAACCAGGCCAACAGCCAGCAGCCCCCCGCAGACCGCTCCCCAGGGCCCCAAGGCCAGCCCCACGCTCTGCGGCTCGGCGCCGGCCCATTTACCTCGAAGGTGCCTGGGACTTAGAGCTGGCAGAGGCCGCTCACTTGCTCCCACAGCCTCGGGAGTGGTAGTGGGGTAGAAGGCCTGACTCCCAGCCCTGGAGAGGCTCACAGGACAAAGTGGGAGCGAAGGATCTTTGTAAACAGTTTCCCACCGGGAAGGTTCTTTTCTCCTGCAGCCCCCAAAAAACAGCAGAGAGGCATCCGGGACAGGGAATTTCTAGCCCTGAGGTTCAAAGCGCTATAAACCTACAGGCCCCCAGGCAGTGCCAGGCACGCGATCGCAAAGGACACCATTGCCCCAGAGTTTAAATGACAATTTTGGAAAATCCCGGAAGGATCTCAAACAGGCGGCTTGCGAGTGAGGCAGGAAAACTGGCGAATGAACTTGTCCCAATCAGTATCTGCTCCAGGAGAGGTACATCCGGTCCTGCAACATTCCCCCGGCTTCCCAGGGCTGTGACAAAGGTCCCAAGAGGCAGTGTCTGTTCAGGGGAGAAGGAGGACAGTAGGCTCCCTGGCTGGAGGGGGGCACGTCAGGGGCCAGATAGGCCTCTCCAGGGAAATTGTGAGAAGTGAGAGGGGCCTCGGGGCGGGGAGGGGCGGGGGCAGCGACCACAGCTGGGCTCGGCTTACAGGGGGTTCGTGAAGCCCAAGCCCATGTACCTGAGAGGGTGAGCATGCTGGGGCAGCAGCTGGGGCAGCAGCTAGGGCAGTAAGGGGCTGGGGTGGAGACCTGGGATGGCAGGGTGGTTTATTCCTTATTGGGGGTAGGCGAGGTCTGGTAGTAGCCGTGGGGGCACCCAGTGGAATCCTCAACAGCATCCCTGAGAAGTGGTCAACTGGTTCTGCTTGCACACCTCCTGTGATGAGGAGCTCACTATCTACCTGGACGATCCACATCATCTTGGAACCATTCTGTAGGAGGGGAGACTCCTTCCTTATTCAGACCCAAAGTCTACCACTCCATATATCTCACCCATGGGTCAGTCCTACAGCCCCAGAGCACAGGTTCCTCCTCTCCCCACCAGCCCTTATAGTTGAAGACAACGGTCATGTCTCTGCTTCAGCTTTCTCCTGGGACAGGAAAATATTCCCGTCTTTAATTTTGAGAAGTAATTTCAAGACACCCTTTAAAAGTACTAAACAATTTATACCACCACATCCTCAATCACCCCATGTATTAATATAATCTTTTTAACTTTTGCCGGTTGAAAATTGTGTCAGCGGGGTATTAACACAGATCATGAGTAACAGCCAATATTTGTGTAGAGCGTACTGGGTGCCGATTACTGATCTTTGTACTTTACAATCAGTAAAGCATCTGTCCTCTGACAATAAACCATAAAGTAAGTGCCATGTGGGAAAGGGAGGCAAGAAGTTTTGGCCACTTGCCCAAAGTCACAAGCTAGTACACGAGCCCTCCACAGGTGGAGGGCAGGGCGCCTGACCTGCTGGGATTCCGACCCAGGTAACTCTCTCCTATCTGGATTCCAGACTCCAGGCCACGTTATTTCTCCCCCGTAAGGTTAAACATGGGTCTCATGCGCTTCTCGATCACTGGCATCTTCTGTGAACTGACTGTATCTTTCTTCCAGCATCCAACTGGGCCATAAGTATTTTTCTATTATAAGTCTCTGTCTACTATGAATATTACCTCTGCTAGAGATGTTGCAAATATTTCTCCCAATGGGCTATCTGTATTTTTTACGTTTGCTTGGCTAGAAACGTTTAATTTTTATGAGCCAAGGGTTTTTTTTTTCATCTATGGCTTCTGGAAATTGTCTTTTTTAGGAAGTTCTTCTTCACCCCAAAACATATTTAGCACTTACTATGCTCTCTCCTAGGTGCTTTGTTCCTATATATTGTTACCGCTCACAAAATAAAACTATAATAAATAACATAAATGTATTAGTATGATAATATATCAATAAACAATAAAAATATATCTACAAATTTGATAAACACAAAGTGTTCTTCGATCATTCTAGTATTCTCATATTTTTTAAGTTCTTTAATGTTTTGGAAACTTATTTTTGTAGGTGGTATGAGGCAGGAATATTTTATTTTTGCCATGTGGATGACCATATGCTCCAATACCATTTATTTGGACAACAATATGAAATGCTTCTGCTTTGAAATACCGTATTTATCAGACACTAAATTCCCAGATTTATGTATCTAGTCAGAAGTTAATGCTGTTTCATTAATTTATATTTATATTTTTAAAGATTTTACTTATTTATTTGACAGAGAGAGTGAGCACAAGCAGGGGAAGCAGCAGAGGGAGTGGGAGAAGCAGACTCCCCACTGAGCAGGGAGCCCCCCATGAACCAGAGATCATGACCTGAGCTAAACGCAGACGCTTAATTGACTGAGCCACTCAGGCGCCCCAGAAAGGGTAAGTTTCTTTAAAAAAAAAAAAAAAAAGATTTTTTACATATAACACTGTCACCAGGGTGTCCTGCTGGGCTCTGGGGGCACCCGGACCAGCAGGCGACCTCCCAAGGTCGAAGCGCTGGCTTCATCAGGGAACCCCGGAGGGTTTCTGCACCCCCCCACGACATCCCAAGTGCGGGCCGCTGGTCACCCGCCTGGAACCGCCCTCACGGTTCTTCCTGTTCTTTCACCCAGTCAGGGCTGGCCCAGTTTCACGTTCCCATGTCCTGAGTCGATTCTTCAGTGTCCGGGGCCTGCGCACTCGTTCACGCAGTTGTGAATTACACAGACCCACTTCCCCCAGCTTCCTCCAAATCATCGGTAAAGACGTCCGAGAGAAGAGGCCCGCCAGGAACCCCCTTCAGGGCAACATCAGTTCAGCGACAGGGGCCTTTACGCCAAGGTCCTTCCACCAGTGCTGAATGCAAACGCATCCCCACGTCTGTCCCCAAGGGAGCAGAAGCCTCGTCAGATGTCCACGGTCTCGACAGCACATCCCCCGACCCAGCTTACTAAGGTCACCGGCGGGCCCAGCTGCTGCCCACGCTGGCGCTCGGCGGGCACCGGACACCCGAGCGCCCTGGCTGACCCCGACGGCAGGTTTCCGACAGGAAGAGGGCCACGTCGTCTGCTGTCCAAACCAGGACACGGCTGCGGGCGGCAGAGGGATGCTGCTAAAATTCCGCCTCGAGGAAAGTCTGAGCAGATCAGGACGGTGACCACCCCCTGGGGGAGGGCCGGCGCCCCCGGAGCCTGGGCGGGGACCGTAAGCACCGCACGTGCGCACGCTAGCGTCGACCAGGACGCGAGCCCCGCACACACCAGCTGGTGTCGTCCACTAAGATACTGGCTTTCACGCAGGTTTTGATGGGGAACCTTGAGTGCTCTGGGATTTAAGTGCGAGGTCGTGGTGACGGCAGCATCACAACGCTTGTCCTGAGATGTGCACGGGAGACATGAGAGCACCACGGGGACCAGCGCAAGCGCTGCGAAGGCCCGGCGGCAGGCCCTCCTGTCCCGCGGCCTCCCGACGGGCTGGCGGGTGGCGCTGGTGGCTCGGGCCCTGGGGGAGCAGCGGTGTCGGGACCACGGCCGCTTACAAAGCCCCGACCCCCCCTGCCTAATGGTGCACGGCCTCCTTGTGGTTTATGGACTTCACTGTTTGAACCCCGTTTTCTTACCAGGAAGACCCACTTGCCTGGTTTAAGAAGCCCATCATCAATCTGGAACTCAGCTCTAAATATGCACTTAAAAAAGTTACAGTTTAAGAACCATTTAAATTTCTTTTTACTAGCCGGGGGGAAAAAAAAAAGTCCTTCCCAATCTTCCTTTATGAAAACACCCGAAACAAGCAAAACAGGGACTCGTGTATGGGCCTCACTTCTGCCCTACTGCAAGGCTGGTAAAACTATACCTATCAGAACACCTTTTGGGAAAATAGAAAACGTTTATTAATAAAGTGCATCATGGGACAGTTCAACTCAGAGCCCAAGGGCAGGACGCATTTCCCCTCTGGTCCTGACAGGGGCGCTGCCCCCTGCCCCGCCTCAGCAGCTCACACAACCGCCCATCTCACTCCCACCCTCTGCTACGGTGGACCGCACGGAAGCCTGCCCACGAGGCTGTGGTTGGCTCCTCGGGAGGCATCCTGGGTGTGTGTGGAAGATTCTGGAGCTGGGCGCAGAGTCTGTGTGGAATATCCTCCCTCGCAGTGGGCATGGTCTTGTTGTACATGGCCTCCTTTGAAGCCGATTCTCGTGGAAGCTCCAGCAACTGGTCATCCCTGTGACCACGGACATCCATGTGTTTGCTCACAGGCTGGTCCAGGCCCTGCTGCCCTTGCTCCCAGTCACACGCCCTGACCCCACACACCAACAGCAGACAGATGCAGTCAGCTCGGTGCAGCTCAGCCAAGAAGCGCAAGCATGCTTCGGGGGCGCCTGTCGGGGCGCAGGATGGGACTCTGGACCACCCAACATCCTAACCGCACTCCGCATCACAAAGTGATATCATTTCTCATCACAGATTGGTCATGAACATTGTTTAAGTTGCTTACTGAAAAGAAAAATAAGCATGAATATCAAAGCAGAAAGCTCACATTTTAGTCCTGAATTTTTTTTCCCCTAAGGTTTACACATTTTCTTTGAATATAAATTAATGTCAGCTCAACTTTTCAATTAAAATTCCTGCAGGGAGACTTCAGTACTTCCTGGAAATGTCCAAGCCAAAGTAGAGGTAAAGGTTTAATAACCCCCTTGTGGATTTTCTCAAAGTAATACATAACATCAGGACTCATCGTGTCTGATAAAGATACCATAATAATCAGAGAGACTGCCTAAAACTTCATGAATGATCTTGAAGTTTCTGACAAATGCTTATCTGTCTTATAAAACTTCACTTTATACAGAAGATGGATAAATGTCACGATATGAATGAAAAGATAAATTTCCCTGAACTTTCTTCACAAGGAAAACAAAATATACACGTTTGAAAATACAAAAATCCAAATGCTTATGTTTTCTCCAGCTGTGAACTGAACCGCACAACCCATATACTTATAGAAAAAATATGTGATTGTTTTTAATGATTTATGTATAAAATAAAAATAAATTTTATGATACAATTTAATAAACTACTTCGTACAAAATTTTACTCACATAAAATGTATGCAATTTTTTCTTTGCAACACAAAAATCCTATTCGTATGTACAAATCATAAAAAGCAAACACATCTTGAAGCAAAAACAGTCCATTGGGTTGTGGCTAAGTCATTCAATTCAGAAGAAAAGAGACGAGTACATGGAGGGCTAGTTAATGGACACCCCTCCCACCTCCAATAATGCGTTTAGTGCAATCTATCAAAAATTTTATGCTGAGTGGTAGAAATGACAAAGTGGCCAATGTGTCAAAATGGCAGAGCTTCATAATCTGATCCTGAACTTACTCAGCTTGGAAGAATCATATAACCACCTTAGAAAAGGATTTCTTTTGGAAATTACAGTAAGGAAACCTAACCTGAACATTTGTGCTAAGCCTTAAAGAAGCAGAACTTTCTCAGGCAATTCTAACATTTAAATGGCACGGCGTGGTTCACACCATAAATATCTAGAAATAACAGTATGAGGACCCAGACCTTATGATCTGTATGTCTCCAAACACTGGGTTCCTTTATATACAAACTTAAGACTTTCATTAAGTATTTACAGTATCATATGTGAGTGAAAAACTTAAACCATGTTCTAAAAAAAACCTTGCTGTAAAAAACAATTTCCAAAAAAACAGTAACATCAAAAAAATGTTGCTAATTGGCCCATCCCCCAAAGTCTTCCTTCAGCTGTTTGCCCCAAGCCGCCCGCCTCTCGGGAATGCACATCTAATGGGAAGGATTAGGAAAGACACCCAGGCCACTGGGGGAAGGCGAGCGCAGGCCTGGAGCAGCTCACTGCTACCCACATGGGGAAAACCCTGGGGCCGAATGTCCCTGAAGGACATACTGAAATCTCCTTCAATTTATGAACTTTAAGGCTGCAAACACAAGCAAGAGGCCGTAGGGACCAATGAGAAAATGACAAAGAGATATACACAGTTGCAAAGAGCTTTAAAAAAAAAACCTCAGGTGAACCTTATCAAGATACAGACTGAAATGAACCCTTTCGGAGGGGAAATGAACTCAAAATAGAGCAGACTCATACTCAGGCCCCATTCTGTTTGTAAGTGCCCATCAGAAGGGAGCCATCCTTCACTCTGCTCCCCTCAGGGTCCCGTCACCAGACCTAAAACCTGAAACCGAGGGTGTCGCATCCCTTGCGTGCCACCTGCACGTGCCTGCTAGCGAATTCTGGCACAGACCTGAGCAGGACAGGCCACCTCGAGACGCAGAGAACACGCCGCACGGCAGGCAATGCTCCCGCTGGAGGAAGGGGAGAGAACCCGGCCCCTCTACACACAGACGTGCCTGCGCTTTCAAAGCTCTGCACTTTGGACGGAGGACACGGAGAACTTCATTTTCTTAGGAAACTGAACTTAGAGAATAGTGACGTTCTATCTTCCTTTTTATTTTCAGACTGAGGAGGACTTCCAGCTTTGGAAACGTGTGAGCTTTCACCTTCTCGAACTCAGGTTGATACTGTACACCATTTTCTGAATCTTCTCTTCGTTCTTCAGGATGTTGGCCTTGACAGCACAGATCTTGTCCTGCTGGTCCTTGATCAGCTGCTCCAGCTCGGCCAGCTCAGCCTTCAAGGGCTCCACCGCACAATCCGTGATGCTGGCGGGACACAACACGGGGCCTTGTGAGCACCAGCCTCGGCTTACATTTGCTGCTGCTGCTGCTTTTTTTTAAAAAGATTTTATTTATTTATTTGACAGTCGGAGAGACACAGCGAGAGAGGGAACACAAGCAGGGGGAGCGGGAGAGGGAGAAGCAGGCTTCCCGCCGAGCAGGGAGCCCGATGCGGGGCT